ATGTGATTTCCGGGTGATGACTCCTTTAACATCCCTACCACAATGAGGCTGTAAAGCCATGTTGGGCATGATGACGTTCTGTGGTCTACTTTAGCCACTTGTTATAAGACACATAAAAGCTTCAAAATTCATGAGTACAGACATATTTTATGTCATAGAAAAAACATAAAAGACTCTTAAATTTGTGTTCACTACAGACCTTATTTCAGGCATCTAACTAAGGAACCCATTCAAAAAAATGACTTTGAGATGATGGAACAGCGAGTGTAAAAATGCTAACTCATTTCTTGGTTTTAGGACTCAATCCTGGGGCACTCTGTAGCTGTGAATGAGCACCTGCATTGGCCAGTGACGAATAAGAGACTGACTGGCACCCTGTTGTTAGAATACTGCAAAAAAATCCAATCACAACACGACAATGTATGTTCCTATATTTTATTTGGACCATTGGCTCCATGATACTCACCAGCTTACTGATTGCAAATGACTTCATTAGCTGATGGTACAAAGCAACTGCAAGCAGATCCATGCAGCGTAGCTTTAGCAGGCTAACCTTAGCTTAGGTTTCGGTCCCAGCTTACTGTAACTTAGCTACGCTGCATGGATCAGTCATTGGTTGCTTCATAGCTAATAATTTGCAAACTAGCCCCAGAAGTCTGGATTACCTAACGTTATCTAATCTATATGGTATTTTGCTACATTTGCTAGCTAGCAATTCATCCGTGCTAGAGAGCAAGCCAATGTTAGCTAACATTAGCTGGTTAAAAACCACAATATCATTAATAATAATAATAATTTATGATATGGGGCACCGAATTTGATGAATTTACTGTTTATCAGACCACAACTGAGACAAGAAGTAGCTAGCTAACCCCGCTGTCCTTTCGCTTCATTCCCCTCCCCAGAGAGATTACTTCCCTGGGGGAATGTGGACCGCAGCTCTGAAGATAGACCTTAAGTCAGTGGCTCTAATAGGTCAAATTCAAAGAGGGTCTGTCTGAGGGGGGGTTCTTTTAGAAAAGGATTTCCCGGAAAACTTGGCCTGAGTCTTTTACATGGAAGTCATTCCACAGGCTGTTATAGGCAACCAAGAAAGTTGAGGAAGGTCTCAGTTTTTAAGTTAAGTTATACTCTGTTCACCTATTGGCCATAAAAATAATTAACACATGTAAAACGTTACATACAGAACCTTTAAAAGTGTGTAGACTACTTAATCTAATGATTTATTTTTTTAAAGATTAGAAAAGTAGATGATTTTGGGGGATGGGATGCTGAGGAAGAAGGGAGTCTAAACTAATCAGAAGTCAATAGTTAAATAAAGATGTCAACCCAGGCGGATAGAGGCTTTGGATTAACCTCTACCACTCCAGCTCAGGTGATAGGGAGGAGAGGTCAGTGGCTTTTTTTTCACTTTTTAACACCCTCATTCACTCCCTCACCCGCTTTAGAAACACACTGAGGCACGCACATACGAGAGCGAGCTGCGTCAGGAAGGAGGACCCCGCACCACCGGGCCCTGCAAGCATTAATTCAATATATCAAGGGTCAGCTAGTTAGCAGCGTGACCCCGCTAAAACACGCTTTAACTTTACAGAACAGGCTGCTATAGAGAACGCCGTGCACCCCCAAAAAACCCCCGACCCCAAAAACCAGATGGCCTCACAAAGGGGAACATGGAACCCTGAAAGAGAGGAGGTAGTGCGGGGCAGAGAGGGACAACAGGCATTCAAGACCTTGATGAGGGTGGATTAGAGAGGGCAAGGGTGCTGCTGGGAGAGTGGGTGGGGAGCAGGGTGACTCCAAGGCCTCCCTGCTTGTAGTGTTTTTACATTTGTGTGTGTGAGACTGTGTGTGTGTGCGTGTGTGTGTGTCTGTGTCTGTGTGTGTGTGAGACTGTGTGTGTGTGTCTGTGTCTGTGTGTGTGTCTGTGTGTGAGACTGTGTGTGTGTGTCTGTGTGTGTGTGTGTGTGTGTGTGTGTTTGCGTTTGAAGATACAGTGGAGCTCTGATGACCCTGAGACTGTCCATAGCCTGGGCACAGCAGTTCAACAATGTTGTTGCTCTTTTTAAAGCTTCATTTCTTATTTAGTACACAACGTACTCATACTGAAGGTTTTGCTGTAACCGGGAAAAAGGTACATGTAATGGGATCATAGTAAATATACGTGTTATTGTATTTACAACCTGACCAAATAATAGTACTTTTAACAAGTGCCATTATTTTCCTTAACTCTTTTTATTTGGACTCAGAATCATAAAAATATGAGAAATATAAATGTATAAGAAGAGACACAAGATATGAAATATGTGTGTAAATAATATAAAAAATATTCCTACATGTTTTGTGATGTTATCTGTCCCCCTTTGTACTTGTATTTTAGTTTTTATTTTGTGGCCCATGTTGACCCAGACTCCCTGGCAGAAGAGATACTGTATCTCAATTCGACCTTTCTGGTTAAATAACAAATACATAAAATAAATAAAATTAAAATAAAAAACAGTGATGGAATTTTTAGGCCAATCAGACTAAAATCAGACTGATATTTAGGAGTACATAACTTCTGATGACATCATTCCAGCTCATGTTATACAACATATAAACTCATATTTTGTCAGGTTTTTTTTTCTTTTCTTAGTCGAAACATTATATTCTGTATTATTTTTTAACAGATACCTAAATGTGCTCAGATGTGATGCTATGCTAAACCAAATTTAGGGCTGATTATTGTAAACAATTGAATCCGTTGGCCCAACCCTGTCTCCTAGAAATTACGTTTTGTATGTTTCAAACGGCTTTCATAATTACGTTGATATGGCAATGTCGTCGCTGCCTCGATTATGTTCATGAACAACGTCTCTCTCAGGTACCAAAACACGGGGCTGGTTGGAATGATACTGGAATTTCTAACATTGATATGATACCTTAAAAATATCAAGCAGCAGCGTCAGACGGCCAAACTTCTCCCAGGAGGAAACTGATGTTTTGGTCTGGGAGGTCTGCTCGCAGTGTCTGAATATACGGAACTGCGAGCAGACCTCCACGGGCTGATGATGCAAAGGTAGCCTGGGAGGAGGTCACCACAATTGTAAATCAATGTTGCGTTTCTCTCGTGCGCGTGCGCTCTCTCTCTTTCTCTCTCGCAGTCTCACTCTGTTTCTTTTCTTTTAACTTTTCTAAGATGACAGATGCTGAATATATACTCCCTATCTGATGCTGTGGCTGTTTGTGGTTGGCTGAGAGGCATGTGAACTTATTAGTTTGCAGCTGTGTTAATCAGATCAGGTTAGGTTTCCATTACACGTGCCAAACGTGCCAAACGGTGCCAATCCCCTTTGATCTGACATCAGATGTGACGGGACAGTCGATATAGAGATACATTTATGTGCTGATTGCAGATAGTTGCATTGAATAGTGGTTTATTGCATTGTTAATTCGGCTTACACCAGCTGCGCTCCGCCTGCGCTGACAGTAGACCTGGTTTCAGCTGGTGAGCTTTTAGCGCACCTTCAGCGAAGCCTTTTGGCACGAAACTGTCACTGCGCCAAGATGGATCTGTCGACACCTCCCCCTGCTGCGCCGCCACACCCATCTCAGCGCACCTCGGTCTGCCAAACTACCAAACTGAGCGCGCCTCGGGTTGCGCTGCTTGAAACTGCGCAGGCTTCGCCACCCTGCGCCACCCTGTGCTGCGCCGGGAAACTAGAGCCCATTAACTATAATAAGTTTTACATTTTACCATTATCGTGTACTTTTTTTTGTTTTTGGAATATTCCAAACCAAGACCAATATATCAAAATAAATCGGTAAGGCTCCAGTCATTGTGCCATGGGTGTAGATTTCAGGGGGGGTGGAGGGGACACATCCCCCTCAATATTTAGAACATGAGCATTTAAGAACAAGAAATAGCAGAGGATTTATTTTGACAAAATTAAAGACATTTACACCATAAACTACTGCAGAAACGGCGCAAATTAGTGCATAAAAAAAAAAAGAAATCCCCAGAATGCAGGAAACAAAGTGCTTGATGCTAGACATTTTCTGACACAGGACCCTCAACTCCCCCTTTTAGGTGTCAATTATCTATAATAAATAATGAGAATTTAAAAATCCTTCATTTAGCCATAAAATTCAAGTAGCACTATGAGTGGCAATTTTCAGTACTTCAGTCACAAGAGAGCGTTTATCTGCTACATTATATATGGACTGTGAGTGTAACTCAGTCAGATCTTTGCTGAGAACATGCAGTACTGTATGTATATAAAGTGTATTCATTTGTATGTCTGTAATACACTATATGTTATATTTGTTTTCCCTGCTAAGCGTCTGTCATTTTATTCTTATGAATAGTGAAAGAATAAGCAGCACATTTGTGGCCTGCAGTTGGCTATTGCTTGCCATTAATATTTAGACTAAATACCAATAAAAGGTGCAAGAATGCTGCCCTCCTCTGTTGCAAAATGCATGACAACAAATTATTATGTAATTATTTATGATCATGATCACTCCAAACACATCAATGATCTGAGATGCAGGGAGAATAATGGTGCTACCTGCTTAAATTGCAAAGCAGATTTTTCGCTGGAAATGCTAACCACCGCATCGCTCCTCTCCTCTCCATTCCTCTCGCCCACCACTCGCCCCCCTCCCATCCCCCTTTTACTTTTGAAATGCAAGCAGTCTGGGTCAGTCACTCAGCTCGTCCGCCCATCTCTCATTCACATTACCTGCGCTTACTCACGCTCTTTCCATCTCTCCCTACCTTTCTCTCTGTGAGTCTTTCACCGTGCCCTGGTATGATCAAAGACAGCTTTGTGACACTGTGCGAGGCATCCAGGAAGCAGAAAACATCAAACCACTAAAGAGCAACTTGCAAAAAAAAAAAAAAAAAAAGACAGACACAGAGGGACAGAGATGCGTGTGTGTGTATGTGTGTTTATATGTGTGTCATAAACAAATGAATTAATTAACAAGACAAGAGAGAGGGATGACTTTGTCTCTACCTTCAGCACGTCGATGAAAGGTAGGAAGGTGTCCCTCTGAAGTCCGTTTTTGTACAGATCTGAAAGAGGAGGGGAGGGCCTGTATTAGAGCTGCTGTTTAGCCTCCTAATAATGTCATTCCCTCGCCGCAGATTGGCAGATAAAGTGGCTATTGATGAACTGAAGGATGGGTGGGGAGGCACGACAAAAGGACTGGGACCAGGAGAGAAAAATGGATTTCTCTACCGGCAGCGGCAGCAACATAAAATTCATTACATTCCCAAACAATGGTGGCGAGAGAAAGGACTGTCGCCTTTTCAGCGCCGGACAATGTCCACAGCAGCTCGCTGAATAGATGTTTCAATTAGCTCGGCTGGAACAAATTACATCTGAAGTAGCATCCCTGATAGACAGATAAAACAGATAGGGATTCACACACAAACACGGACAAAGACACACACCCACAGACACACAGCGAGGCTTAAGCTCTCTCCAGCTGCGAACGTAAACAAGCGGCCGTTGTTGATGTTTGGGCTTACAGTAGGACCTGACACGCTCGCTTGATAAGCCCCATACTGTAATGGACTGAGCTGTCATAAGACACAACTATTGCCAAGGTTAAAGCAATAGTTCAATATTTTGGGACAGTTTTTGTCAGGAGATCAATACCACTCTGATGTGTGTACATTATATATTAGGACAGAAACAGAAGACAGTTAGCTTAGCTTAGCACAAAGACTAGAAAAAGGTGGAAATAACTAGACTGGTTCTGTTCAAAGGTTACAAAGCGCCTATAAAGTTCACTAATTTACACATTAAATCTTGTGTGTTTAATCTGTACACAAGCTCAAATGTGAAAATGTAACCCAATTGCCAGAAAAAAGTTGGCATTGTACAATTTTGCAAACCACAGATATGTTGAATTTGTACATTATTCAGTAGTCGAGTTAATAAGTCTTTATGTCATTGTGGAAGGTGCACTGATTTTAATTCATTATTACAAACTTATCTGTTTCATTATTATGTTATTTACGGTCTTATTTTGCTGTTTGTTGTGATGTATTAGTTACCTATGAGATTTCTTTTTTGTGTGTGTGTACTTGAACGCCCCACTGACAAGCCCCTGCAGACTTCACCCATGTGCCCCAGCTCTGGACTCGTGGTAGGTTGACTTCGGCTAAGCAACACCAAAAATACTCTACTTTTTATGGTTAAAAGTGTATTTCGTTTGCCATAACTGTGCCATAAAAGCTCCTGAAAACACTAATTAATATTTTGTGATGATGTTGGGTGGTTGGAGATGTATTTGGAGCAAGTAGCTGTGACTGTAACTTTGTTCGCTTGTTAGCCGTTAGCTGTGGCTAATCCAGGTGGTGTGGCTAATTGGTTTGCAGCAATCATTAAGTGTTTTGTTTCAGTGCATGCTGAGCTACATTGTTAATTGAGAGCTGGCTGTGGAGGCTGATTTTCTTTTTTTGTATTGACCAGTGCTGAAATAAACGTGGGTCCAAGCAATGAAACTACATTTCTCACAATGCTGTAGTTAATGTGTTTAAGCAGAAAAAAAAACACTTGCCTATGACTAGCAGATTATCATGCTTTGATTTGAAATATCAACATTTGGCACCATTAAAGCTGCAGGGAAAATGGCAACCAGAAACTAAAACACACCCTTGTTCGGTGGCACAAAAGCTACTGTAAAAGCGACGACTGATTTCTAAAAAACACCCATGTTCTGCAGCACTAAATCCACAGGAAAAGCAGTTATGGGACGCTAGAAACAACAATCACGATTGGCAGAACAAAAGCGGCTGAAAACGTGGCCACTGGTCACAAAAGTGGTCTGCAAACCTACAATGCCAACATTTGCTTCTAGCAACCAGGAAACACAACCAGTTGTGGTTTTACAGGAGGTTGTGGCCCGGACTGTTTCCTGACCATGTGTAGTGAATTCCTAAAAATAGTCTGCCATACTGTAAAACCAAAATGGGTCCTTTTTAGACTTCAATTTTTGTACAGATCGAACAAACAAGTTATAATGTGTTATTTCTAGGATGGTATTTGTAGGAAGATTTTACCTTTGGATAGAGCCAGGCTAGCTCTTTCCCCGTTTCCAGTCTTTGTGCTGAGCTAAGTTGAACCAGCTGATAATGGCAGTTTCATATTTACTGTATAGGCAGTGGTATCGATTTTCTCACCAAACTCTTAGCTAGAGAGCCAATTCCCAAAATGCCAAACTGTTTCTTAAAGTCAGCAAAGGGTATCACAGGAGCGTTCAGTGCTAAATCACATCAGGAGCCACCTGTTTTTCATTTTGTAAGCCCATTTCTAATATCATTGTACTGTTGATTGCTTTAGATTAGGGATGTTCCTGGCGACTAATTTCCCTGTTGACAAAACGAAAATTTTAATTAAGACTAGTGGACTCGTCTAAAAAAGGGAAAACAGTCAAAATTTAGCACAATTTATTGTTAAGTATTTGAAACATTGTCCCAAAAATATTGTGTGCATTAAGAGCCCTTTGAAGCCTTTAATCATAATCTTCAACAACCATGTTGGATTTTAAATGCAGCTGAAGTGCGAAACACTTTGTGCCACGTGGTATGAATGTGAACATGACGGCAACTCAGTTAAATAATTAACCACTAAAATAACATCTAAAATAAATAAATTGCCTCTGAAATGTGCCACACATTGAACCTTGCAGATTATCCGACAGAAATGACAGCAATTCACTTTAAAGTTAATAAAACAACATCTAAATTATAACCAAATTTCAGCTGAAATGAGAGGCATTTAGCGCCGTGCAGTATGAATGTTACCCCTGCACATTATCTCACAACAACTCACTGAAAGTTAACAAATAATGTAACATCTCAAAAAAGATAAATTGCTGCTGAAGTCATTTTCTAGATCAAAGCACTGCCAAACAGCGCTAGTTTTGCGAGAGGACATCGCTCTTGTTTCCCACCGTGTTGTTTTAAAACTCCAGTCTATTCGTGCATTACCGCTGGGAGGGGGACTGCTGTCTGATGGCTCTGTAGCCCCCATTAGTGGCAGGCGGCTGCATGACAGTTAAGCGGCCTTGTACACGAATTAAACACGAATTGGTTTAACCGATATTTCTGATGCCGACTAGCGAGGGGGCGGACGTTTAATTGTTTAGATGACTAATCGAGCACATCCCTACTTCAGATAGATGTGACGCCCCTGACAACGAAACTTATTACTGGTATAATTATTACAACCTTATCACCATGTAGAGAGAAGCGTGCATCTACCCATGGACAATAGGCTCGTCCTCCTCAGCTGAGCTGTAACGTTAGCTAGCTCAGTGGTGCTAGGTGAGCTAGCAGTAGATGTACGTGTTGAGTGATATTGTTGGTGGGTACAGTTCAGTGGGAAGAAATAGTATTTACACGAAGCTGCTCACAATGAGGTCTGTAGATTATGTTGAGTAACTGCATCATGAGTCTTGGCATTTTGAGCACCACAAGCTGAGTGCCATCTAGCTTCATTATATTAAAGAGAAGGCAGACATCTCTACAACCCACACCAAAACTATCTAGATTGATAAATAGCACTAGCCTACAGGTAAGAGGGAAAATATGTATTTTTGATTCTGGGGTGAACCGTCCCTGTAAACTGCACTGAGGTTGTTCCACTCAAAAAAGACTCCATTTATCCCAAAATCCTCCTCAATCTAATTAAACAGCAAAACACTACTTTAGCCGTTCTAGCAAAAACCTATCTTTAAATTCCCCCTCCAAACACATCAACGGCTGTTTGATAACAGCATCTCCACTTCAATAAAGATGGAAAATGTATGCCTTTCATGTCCAGTTGTCTCTTATGGCTTTCAGTGTTCCATTACCATGTAATTAATACCAAGTAGGCTCTCTATCAAGTTTGCATGGTTTGGTGCTTTGTTCTTAATAGCTAGTAAATATCAGAGACGCACGTCTTTGTCTACGAGAACCATCTTTCTGCCATCCACTTCCTACCCACTCGAGACTTTGAGGCTTCAACGTCTTCCCCGAGAAAAAAAAGCCGTCAGATAGCACATCATGCATTTACCTTGATCACTGCCTTGCTCATTCTTTCTCCTGCCTTGCCCCGCTGGCAGTAAATGCAACATCAAAGCCTGTTTAAAGGTTGTGTCATGTCTCTAAAAGTGAGAGCTGTATCAAATGTTGCTCCTTTTTTCCTCTTTGCTGTTAACAGGAAATAGCTGGCATGGCCTGGTAAATTGATTCTTGAAAGTATTAAGTGAAATTTAAGTGTATAATGTAGATGTATGTAAAGTAGCTGTGAAATGTGTGGGTTCAAGAGGAGGAGAAGCAAACATTGACATTCCAGGAATATTACTTGTTATTACAGCTGCAGGCAGATAGTGCAGTGGTGTAGTTGAGAGGAGCTTCAGGGCTGCAGCATTGTTTGACTGTATTTTACTGTTAGCCTTTTGCCTTCGCAGTCCTTCTGAGCTGAGCTTTCCATAGATGACAGAATTCCTTTCATTCTTGCACGCGTGCAGTGAGTGGTAAAAGCTGACAATTCCAGACAGTTAGCAGCATCAACATTTAACATGTCTAGAAACTCTTACAACACACCATGTTATAATCCCAGACACCTTTGAAATGACTATAATTTATAAGTCACATAATCGTCTGATGTTCTGTAAAATCAAGAAAACTGGAAACAACTTTAGATACCACCTGGATGAAGGTATATATTCAAAAATATCTGAGGAAAATATCGTAGTATTTTGGACAACAGTTTAGTGATGTGTTCAGTTTTGATGGACCGTTGGTGGTTAATCGATTTATATGCTTTCAACGTCTTATAAATCCTTTTTACTTCAGTGCTGTGCTGAAAAAATGTGGCAAATGTGTTTTGTTGTTTTCATTTTCTGGCACAGATAATCCTGATGACAAATCAAAATGAAACAGTAAACTTCTCTGGTGCAAGGCGCTTAGCTTTGTCATGTTCAGTACAACTGTGTGAGAATGTGGGTTCGTAAGATACAACCAGCCACTCCAGTAACCCTTTTGTTTTCATCCATGTACTCTTATAGATAATTTGTCAACTTACAAATGGGTTACGTGCCGCTGTATGCAATAAAATGGTGCTGCTACATTATATGGACTGTTTTTGTTTGTTTTTTTGTTAATTGCTAAATAAGATGTGCTGTTAAAAGGGTAGGTGCTATAAGCTGTAGCTTTAGCCTACACCTTTTTCGGACTGCACAAGTGTCTAAGTTACGTTAAATGACTTTATTGTAATCTTTCGCACTGTACTATTTAAATATCTGCCATTTTCTGTGAGGGGCTGTAACTTAATGTACATTAATTTTTAGATTAATACATGATGTTCTTATTGTTATCTGCAGACTGAAATAAATTATAAAAAAATCAAAAATTCAATTTAGTTATCAATAGAATAAAGTGAGTGTTAGAAGCCTTCATTTCTAAGTAACGTATTTGGAAGCTATTTTTTTTTCAATAATGGGGATGATATTGTTCCAAACTACCTTATTTGTTTGTAAGATCCACAGCGAGAAAAATATCTATGCATGATGTAACGCCTTAAAATGCTATACAATCATGTAAAATTATTTTATGTTCCTGCAATACTAGTAGAATCTCATATTTGTTGTTGCCTCTATTAAGGGAGCACTTCACCCACAAAATGACCATTTGTGTATCACATACTCACCCTTTGTTATGTGGATTTGGAAAGAAAACTTCTCGCATGCCTCAACGGCAATCAAAGAATCCAAAAATGAGAGTAAAATAGTTATGTTTCAAACAGTTCCATAGTTCAAATACATGCCTGTCCCAATTATACTGCATGAGCTGTGTGAGAGTTTGTAAACACAGGTTTTGATGTAGGTTTGTTGTTGTTAAATGCAGCTCCTAATGAATTCAATTCATGAGGAATTTTCGCATTTTTTTAATTTATTCTTCGTTCACTGTGGAGGCTTGCGAGAAAAACAAAGTTTTCTTCCCAAATTCAAGGTAACATGGGTTGAGGAATTGATATACAAAGGTCATTTTTTTAAAGTATTCCTTTAATGTTATGGTAGTTAAAATGCTTCTGTTACTAAGATACTCCTTTACTTTTTGACTTAATGCATAGCGGCAAAATCTGAGAAAAAAAGTGCTACTACAGTGTTACTCTGATGGCTGCAGTCGAACAATAAACCATCCTACGCTTTTACTCAACTGCGTGTTAAGTAACAACAATTTAATTAATAAACAATAGCTAGAAAAGTACAACATGTATGTGCTCAGACTACAGTCATCGTACCATCAGGGGCTCTGTTGGACGTGGCCACCACCACCACTCCAGTCTTGAACAGCGTCTCGAACAGCTGCTTCAGGATCATGGCGTCAGCAATGTCTGTCACCTAAAAGAACAGAACCAGAGAACAAGAGAGACACATTCACATACTGTATAATTGGCCTTTTCTTGCCACGGTGCATGTGTGTGCATCTGAGGTCAAACCACGCCATCAACACTCCATGTTGATTAGTGTCATTCAGGTGTGCTCATTCAGTCCTTTGTGTCTGGTCATGGCCATTCACGCTGGCACGTATCCACGCATGCATACGCATACACACACCTAAACCACTCGATCTGACTGCAAATGGTCACGAAGCAGCTTTCTGCTGAGGACAAGTAGCTGAGGCAAGGCAGCGCCCCGAGCTAATCAGCTGAGGCGACATGAGAATGACTGAGCGCAGGCGGGAAAACAAGAGGAAGAAAAGACGGTGAAAATTGAGCAGTGTGAATCCAGACTGGGGTCACAATGGCAGACAAAGCCTCTCTCCATCATGGTCACGTAAAGGCATATAAAGGTGTGTGTTGTATGAACTAGACAAGGCTAATAACTACATATATCCAATTCAGCTGTCCGCTGCCTTTTTCCATCTTCATCATTTCCATGAATCCACAATAAACAAAGGTCGATGACAACACTGAAGCAAGGACGTTTATGAGTCGCTGGCCGTTAAATGAAGAGCTCTGACCTTTCTATTAGTAATCCAGTGCTCTCACTTTTGTTCTTATCCTCTCGTCTGTCTCTCTCTTTCACCTCTGTTGTTCTTTTGCACAGTAGTCAAAGCAGCACTTACATGAGGCCTGATTAAACATGAGCACTGACTAACAGGAGATGGGCATATTGTAAAAGAAATGGAATTATTTCAGGCTTCTGTTTTTGCTTAAAGTCGCCAGTCTCATGCCAACTGTCATTTATATTCAATACATAAATAATTCTTCCAATATTACAGACAAATCAACTTAACTGTGATGATCTCTTGCAAAATTATTTGCAAATTTGCAATTTGGTGGATAAACATTTCACACTACGTCATTCACATTTTAAATGTACTTGACTGCTGGAAAGATAGTCTTTTCATAAAACTAAGATATCCATGCAGCAGAAAGAAATCCCTGATTTTTTTAAATTGGTGCTACATGATCAGAGAACAAAGAGAAAATAGGGCAGTGGCATTTGCTTTTTCTCAAGAGGTAGAAAACCTACAACTACCAGAATGCACTGCGCCACACAGGACCAATAAATGCTCCTGCTGGTGGGTGACTAAATGCGACCCTGTCTATTTTGATACAGGAAACAATATGGCAGCCAGTTGGTGACAGATGATCTCGAATTACAGTAAACTAAAATGTGTTTCTGAAAACATTTGAGCCAAGAAATAGGCAATGCAGTAAAAGAATCTTGGTTCGTATTTGATCAGCATGTTTTAGTTGTACAGATTTATCTCAGTTTTTTCAGCTTAGTGTTTTAACAATACAGGAAACAATATGGCACCCATGTCCTGTTCACAAATTATTTTATTACAGCCAAAAGTTTCACTGAAGTATGATTCTGAAAACATTTTAGGAGAGAAATAGACAATTCAGTAACAGAATCTCAGTTTATATTTGATCAGCACTGCCTAGTTTTACAGTTTGATTAATCTTTGGTCTGATTTTGAGAGAGAAAGGGGCTTCTAACTCTCGAGCCGCTTCTTTACTCTTTGTGTGGCATATGACAATGTCAAAGTACAATCTGTAGGTGGGTCATGGTCCAAAAGTGGGCCACAGGTCCACTCTGAATGTACCACAAGGGACTCGTACAGTGAATTTGTGACACAGAGCTTTTAAATTGAAGTGTCGTTTCCTGCTGTAGAGTGAGCGAGTAACGGACAGCTACTTAACAGAGACAGCAAACTAGCTTGATGAAATGTCCAAATGCAAGTATGACACTCAATATATTAAACTGTGTGGACCTTGAACTAATGACTAAGGAGAAATCTGGACCCCATGGCTGAACCAGTTGGGAACCACTAGTGTAAGAAACGTCTGTAAATCAGTGGATGAATTTTTAAAGGACTTGTTTTATTATCAGAATTTGATCAACTCAATAACATTATGACAGTCTAGAAGAGCCACACAATTGAATCATTTTATCCCCTTTCAAGTTAGTGGAGCGCTAAACCAGAGGTAGCCGGTTCAGCTGTGGAAGTCTCTAGTGCGGCCGCTCTATGGGCCACACAGTGCGGAAGCAGTGTGGATCTTTCAGGGAATTTTATACATGGCAGTTGAATTTTTTTGACTTCATGCACCACTGAGTAACTTTCATGGGAAAGACCGGGGCCTTGCCTCCAGCACTGTATCCAGTTCTCTTCATATAACCATGGCAATAGCTCGAGGCAGCGAACATCTCTCGGTAATGGCGGTACAAAGACAAAGTGAGTAAAGGCAGATAAAAGAATAGCTAGAACAGTCTGGTTAGTTCAGAAAATTACATCACTTTCCTGTAATGCAGCCTTTAAAACCAGGAGAAGACAACATTTACGATTTTGTGATATCCAAAATCTAAGACGTTATTTAGTCTCATATCATGACATTGATGTAATATCGATGTATCGCTAAACCCCGCTAAGACGTCTTGAATAAAAGACTTCTGTCCTGCCCTCTCCTCTCACTCCCTCTTACCTACTTTCCTGTATATAACAGGCACTTCTGACGGCCATACCCACAGCATATGCCTCCTTTCATACTCTGGAGAGTCTTCTGCTTTTGCATATTAGCCCCACTGCCCTTGCCAATACTTGATTAACATTTGTGTTAAAGCCTTGATTTCGCTAAGGAGAGGTGGCTAGGGGCATCAAATTAGTGTGTGTGTGAATGATTGTGTGTGCGCGTAATGAGAATCAACAGAAAGCCAAGGCTCTGTGTCTCTCTGAAGGGGCCCCCATTTCCTCCGACCGCAGGATTTTATTTTCATTTCAAAAGAATCATTTAAAAATGACCTTTTATACAACCTGGATTTGTTTATTCATGTGCCCTCAACATGGGCATAGTATGAGGGGCAATATTGATTGCTGAATGAGTAGGGGGAGAGGGAAGAGAGAATGGGTACCCACAGAATGAGAAAGGTGGAGGGGACTGATGTAGCACTTGTGGAACACAAAAATAATGGTGCAATCTCCGTCAGCCAATGCTGATATTCAAATGAGCATCCAATTACTCAAGCGGCTGTCAGTTTACAGCGAGGCACACGGGTGCCAAATTAAACCTCTTTTGATGTTACACCTCTTTATGTACACAACCTATGAGCAATTTCACAGAGGCTGCACAGTGACTGAGGCCCTGAGACAATGACGCTCAAGCGTTTTCTTCTCACTCTTCTTCTTCCCTCCTCGCTCTCTTCCCATCTTTCCATCTCGGACCTCTCAATGGCGAGTATTCATTAGGGGAGCTGGGTGGGGGCCGTAAAAGGAGGGAGGGGGGCTACAAATTACTGATAATGGCACGGCGCTAATGAAGAGAATGGAGAAATGTCATTAGCATTTAAGAGGATAAGATCCATCTGACCCGCCGCCGCCAGTCGCTTTCTAGCTCCACTCACTTAAGGAAGCAGGAGAGTGCGACTGATACCCAGAGCCTCATTTGCATGGCTGAGTGGAGGAGGATGCTGATTGGTATAGACCCCCACCACCACCCTCACCCCCAGCTCCCCCCAACCTTGCAACCTCTTGTTTATGCATCACAAACAACGTGCACATGTCTGCTTGTTTCCCCTCCATTCACCGGTAGCAACAGTCGACAAGCGAAAACAGCAAAGCTGGCGACAGCAAACAAAACAAATCAATGAGAATGCACAAACAGCGCCGCAGTTTAAAATGTGAAAGACGGGGGGATGAAAGGAGCAGCTCTTGATCCTCGCAGATGCATAGAGAGTGATTAGAGAGAGCAAGCGCACCTTCTGTGACCTTTGACCCGCTGGCATTAACTGTAATGATATCAGTAAGAGATGTGTTTGGCTGGCTAATGATAAAGACAGAAGCACACCTCTTTCTCTCCTCGCTGAATGACTAACTACCTTACAGAGAATACAGAGAGCTTCAGTAGTGGCTCTCTCCTCTGACACCAAAGGGTAAAATAATGAGAAGTTCTGCAGCACTAATGGCTGAAGGTGCATTTTAGTTGTGTAAATCCAGTGTTCAGAAACTAAGGGTGACTTGGTTGTAAAGGTTTGGGAGCAAACGAGCTGTGTGAGAGTATAAACAAGCGACAGGAGCAGATCACTAACTCAACATGTGAGATTACACAATTTTACTCCTACTGTATCAGTAAATGACTACTTTACAACAGACTAAGGAGAGAGGACGTTTCACTGCTTCGTTTTACAGTTGTGTCATATTCAAAAAGGCCACTAGGTGTCCCCAGTCCTGTTTTAGTGAGGGTGTAATGATCAGCAGCATTCAGCTGTCCAGACAGAAAGTCACAGGCCAAATGGACAGTGTATGTCTCAACTGTTGGAACTGACTCTGTGTAAATAAGCTTTAGAGGCACACTGCAGTGTAACTATTAGTCCTCCATCATCTATGTATGCATATTTTGATCCAAAATTTTACTTTAAAGTATGTATCCATTTATATACTTGTCTATTTTACTTAAGATAAGATAGACTTTATTGTCCAAAAGGAAATTCGTCTTGGATACATGCGGTACCTGCCATTAACAGATACAAAACTGTTATACATACAGTTCCTACATATATACAGTCCTTACACAGAGCTGTCCCACACACACTCAGTATCCACAAAAGAAACAAAACACTAAAATATCACTTTGTTTCCTTCTTCAATAGAGATTTTACTGTACATGCTTACAATAAGCATCATGTCCTGTGGCTTTCTACTGACGCTGGCTTTGTGTGAGGTTTTATTCTCTAACATATCTGCTGTTGGTTTTACATTTCCACTGAATATGAAATAATCCCATAGCCACACATATTAAAAATAATGTATACAGCACGTGTCAAGATAGTGTACAAATCAGCTTGACTGTGGGTCAGATTGACTTTTGTATAAAGATGTGTTGCATCAGCGCTTTTGGGGAGTCAGTAGTTACATGTGATGTGATTAAATTACAAAATAAATAACTGTGATCCATTGTACAAAGAAAATATTTAATTAAATTACAGTTCCTTATCAAAATGTTGGTCATTACAAAGGGATTACATCCAATTATATTATTTTCGGTAAAAACCTTATATGTAAAATGTAACATTCAATATTATTCATTACATTGAGGAACTTTTAATAAAAGTTTGACAGTGTTGAGTGCTGTTATGAGGTTCATACTGCCTGGCTTAAACTTGTGTTCTTAAGGCTTTTCAGCTTTATTGCCCAGTTTAAAAAATGTTTTTAAGATGTGAGAAAAGTAATCAGAAATCATCAAATGTTATATTTTACATTACTTTGATGAAGTCATAAAAAGACACTTATATCACTTATTACAACTTTAACAGGGTAACTAGTAATCTGTAATCTATTACATTTAAAACGTAACCTTCCCAACACTGTTTTAGCAGGAACAATATCTGATATGTTAAGTCTTAAATAAGAACATTGTTAAGCATCCTGATTATCTGGGATTTTATTTCTCTTTGCAAATTTGTTTCAACCCCACAGATTCAGATTTAGAGAACTTTTTGTCCTTGAGCATGAAATGGAAATTTGTCTTTGGCACTGGCATATATGACAGTGCACACAACACACAACAATTATTTATCTTACAGTCTTAAACCAAGTGGCAGTAATAAAAGTGATGAGCAGATTGTTCTTTCACTTTAAAATGCCTTAAGATTCACAAATACCTCAAAAGACGCCTTAACTAAGTCTTTGTCAAAATGTATCATTCAACCCTTCCAGCCAGCAGGTATCTTCTTACAGTAACATTCCTCAGCATCAGCATGTCATTGTTATATAGAGCTGTACTAGCAGTCAGTGGTGGATAGTGACTAGCTACATTTGTGCAAGTGCTGTACTTAAGTGCAATTTTGAGGTACTTTGTACTTTACTTGAGTATTTCCATTTTCTGCTACTTAATAATTCTATTCAACTACATCTCAGAGGTAAGTATTGTACTAACACGAAGACTAAGGACACTGTCAGCAATATTCATCTACATCAGGTGCACTATTATTTCATATGATGCACATTACTACTTTTCAACATCATGTGCAATATTTTTCTTTAATATCATGTTCACCTATCAATGTAGTGCAATATCATTTTGTCAGTCGTGCAATACTACTTCTTACTGTTATATCATGTTCAATATGACATTGATTAGCAGGCGCAGTCTGTTTTTTTCCACCATTTTCAGTTCATTGTAGTAACTCTTGTACTGATCGAACTCCTACTGTTACTCTATTAAGCACTGGTTTTTGATTTTGCTCCTTGAAAACACTTCTGTCTTGTACATATTTAATACTTTATTGTTCTAAAACTGGGCCCAGTGAGTGACCCTGACCCAGGGAACCCACTGGTTGTCTGGTTGTGAATCATTAAAGTTGTAGTTACTGTACTTATTGTTACTGTAATTTGAAGAATTCTCTGGCACAAGAATTTCCTTTGTGATAAATGAAGTTGTATTGAAATGAAGTTGTATTGAAATGAATTTAACTTTTTGTATTCCACTACATATATTTGATAACTTAAATTATTAGTTACTTTGCAGATTTAGATTATCAATACAAAATATAACTAAACTAATAAATTATGATATATGATTATAGGTGAAGATACCCAGCTAAGATGAGCTCCACCTTCACCAGCTGCTGCATAAAGGTAATTAACATATGAATGCATCACTAATTATGATTCAGTGATATAATAGATATTACTCTGTATCAGTACTTTTTTTTTTTTTACTTAAGTACAATTTTGAATGCAGGAATTTTGCTTCTAATCGAGTATTTTAACACCATAGTATTGCTACTTTTACTCAAGTAAAAGATCTGAACACTTTTTCCTCCACTGCGGACAGTATATTTATCAGCATCACTTATTACTTAGCACTAGTGTCAGAGTAGTGCTGTTTAAAGCAGATGTATGCAGTTGATATGTGGTTTGCTACTTGTAGCTTATGTTCAAGCAGGTTTTAACACACACACACACACACACACACACACAGAGAGAGAGAGAGAGAGAGCCTGTAACAAACTCGCTCACCTGAAACTCGTCAAAACACAAGAGGCAGGTTTCATTGCTGATCTCCATGGCAACCGGCGATATGGGGTCATAGGTGAACATTTTCCCTAGCTTTCGTTTTGGCAGGCTTTGTTTCCTCCGATGGATCCCTTTAAGCAGTACACAAACGTCAGGCACGTCTTAAAGCACACCTGCATCGCCAACCCAAACCCGGCGACAATGCTGAATAAAGCGGTAATTTCACCTGTATGCATAATGGTAGACAATTAGCAGCAGGGCTTCAGGACAAACACAGGGATAAATATAGGATCGCAGGCGCATGAGGAGTCAGAAGAACTTTGATAAAGTCAAGCAAGCAAACCTGCGGTGGTTAGTGCAGTGGAGTGGGAGGATAATACTAACTTTTGTGGATGTCCAACATGAAGCCGTTGAAGTGGACTCTCTTTTTATGAGTGTTTTCCACCCGGGAGTAAAACATATCCATGAGCATGGTCTTCCCTGTGCCTGAGAGGGATTAAAGAAAAGCAATTATTCTAAATCTTGGCATGATCTTGGATGTTTTGTAAAGATTTACTGCCATAGTGATATTAATTACATATTTCATCTTACCAACATCTCCATAGATATAGAAGCCTTTGGGTGGGGGTGGAGGCGGAGGTGGTGGTGGAGCTGGTTCCTCCTTTGGTGCAAAGAGGAAAAATGAGGAAATGACTGAAGTGTGTTTGTTTTTCATCAAATCTTTTAGCAGCTGCTTGTCATCATGAACAATAACACACAGCAGTTACCCATAAATCTGTGGTCACTCAAAATAAATGCATAAATGAATTCCCCTATTAAAAGGCACAAACACTACTACGGGTGACCTACATACACTTCGTTATATTCATTACCATATAAGACTAAATCATGGTGTAATAAACAAAGTATGCTGAGGCATTAAGCCACCACTACAGTGTGAGGTTTCACATTCTCCAGACTAGCCCACTGCAGGGGAGGAAGACAAAGGGGATCTAATCAACAAGACAAGCCAGGGTTCCCACGAAAGAAAAGCATCATCAGAGGAACAATGGGGGGATTTGTCAGACAAAACGGAGAGGACTGGATGAGGCTCCATACGAGATGGAGTGGACTTGTCTGTGCAGCCTGTTTAGCGCTGCTAATTGTGATACGGTACTGTTGCATTGAGGTGCTGCTGGAAGTCATTGTGCTGCCTGCCTCCTATCATCAAAAGGTCTTTGCTTCAAAAAAACGTCCTCTGTGTGACCAAGCTGAGAATATTGAGTAAAGCCAAATATCTCTAAAGAGGGCCCAAGCCATGCGAACACATGTGTCATCAGTGTAATCATGACATGTAATGATAACTTGGAGCATATCAGAGATGTTTTATACAGGGGTTAACAGCAGTGTGGTTGAGGATCGTCTGTCTCTGTAACCCGGCAACGCCAAAAAGCTTTGGAATTAACTAAGCACCAAATAGAAACGTTTGTCCCCTGAAAATTTAATTTAGCAACTATTTCATGGGGACAGTACTCAGTGTCCACTGCACTTGGTGTCCACCGCACAAGGAGCACTTGACTCTGGTAAATGTAGACAATGGCCAATTGAAAACTAAATGAAAAAACAAACTTGTTACCCATCCTCTCTCTCTCTCTCTCCCTGCCCACTCCCCGCTCCTCCCCTCCACCCCCCCTCTCCATCCCCTCCGCCTGTCCTGTGCTGGAGTGAAATACTGGAAGAGCAACAAGCCTTTCCTGTCTGCTCTGGCATAACAGTGTGTGACTTCTCCCTGACTTCCCAAGCTGCTCTCTGGCATGGTGGGGTAATTGTCAGCGGTGGCTGGAAGCCATTCTGCCACGGCAGAGTGGAGAAGGACAAGGCTGTTCCTCAGCCACTCTGTCTAGCTGAGCTCTGTGGCCTTGTCTCACCTCCTGGAGGAGGATATAGACTGGCACATGGGTGGAAAGTTCACATGCAGGACATGGTCACTTTGGCTTTGAGATGACTTCGAGAAAACTGCGTTTTAACGTGTTCATGTTTAGAGATGTCACGTCTCTCACTAAGAAAGTTAATGAAATAACTGTGGGAGTCTAAGTAAGGTTCAAGTGGCACAACTGTCCTGCTGGAGACCTACAGTGTACAGGAGGACACCACGATGCAGGTCTGACTTGAAGAGGGTGGCTCCCTCTAAACAATGGCCCATTGTTAGCCGACCATCCGCAAAACCACGCCACATTGGGTCAATATTAAGTCAAGTGTACTCTCCTCACAGACTTGGTCAGTTAGTGAGGACAATGGCGGCACTTTCACAGAGAGAACAAACACCAAAAGGACAGTGGTATGACCTGATTCAAACCAGAATAATTGCATAAGTACTCCAGTCAGTGTGTATGTGTGTGTGTGAGAGACAGAGCAAGAAATAAGGTGCAATAGGAGAGGGGGGCGGCGGTGTTGATAGCCTAACACCAAAGTATTTGTCAGAGTCCCGAATCAAAAGCAAAAAGGACAAGAATGGCCCAGACAATAGGGATCCCCTCATTACTGCATGGGGACGGTGAGAGAGTAAGAGGGGTGCCGGGACGGGCCCAGCGGGAGGTCTGCCCTGCTGCCTTCCAAAATCTCTGCCTAACCCTATGTGTCTGTGCCAGCCAACCAACAAAACAACTCCCACCACCAAATACTAGACAGTCAGCTCCCCTGACCTAAAAACAACAACAGCCCCCTACATTATGCCGTTCCAAAACTCACATGCACAATACACTTCCCAGACCCCTACCCTCCCTTTGACCTGAGCCCCATGGCCACCATCAGTGATACAACTGGAGTACAGTGCAGTGGACCCAGTGAAGTCCCCCCATATGTTAGACGTCAATGGGGCTTTATAACGGAATGGGAGTCCAGATGCCACACTGTAAAAGGCTTTTAACAAATCCATGCTGCCGCGCAAATTGTAAACTGTGTCCCAAATCATTCACTATTTTCTACCATGTGCACTTTTTTTTTTACTTTTTGAAAAGCATACACATTTTTATTTCTCAAAAAATCCCACAAAGGAAAGAAAGAAGAGGTCTGCAGCACTCACACTTTTTGCTTTTATAAGGTATACTATGCAGCAATGTCAGTTATTGATTGTAAACATGATCTCCACCAAAAGTGAAAGTAAAAGCCGACCCCAGATTCACTCATTTGATATCTCCCCTCACTATATTTGTGTTTTTTTGGCACTGTGTCTCTTGCATGTCTGCTGCTTGCTGTCTGGCACCTAGTTGCTACCTTTTTGTAAAGCTCCAACCTCATCTGAGCGCTGTGGGGGTACACGCCCATAAATGTCCTGAGCACAGAAATTGAGAATTAAAGAAGACAATACAGGCAGAGGGCAGAGTCTCTGCAGAATAACAAACCACCTCACACTTGTAGTGGGTCAAAAGTGATGATTGATAGAGATTACTACTATTAAAAGAGCCATTGTTTACCAAAAAAACTTAAGAAAAAAAATTGTCTGGAGCTGCAAAACATATTTGAGTACAGGTAACAACCGATTAAGTCTGAATTAGCCCATCAGCATTACGAATAGGTCTAAATAAGCATTCATGAATATGATTTACTACAAGGTGGCGACTCTGCAGTGGGCTATTTATAATTAGTACTTTGCAGCGTTGGTGTTGAAAGCAATTGTCTGTCCACACATTATCAAATCCTTTATTTTCCTCCAAGACTTTTCCGTAGCCTCGTTAAAGAGACTCCAGGTTAGCCACCGCTACTGCAGTTCAGCAGAATTCAGAGTAAAAGGCACCGGGTCGTAGACGTGTAAGGCACATTTTAGTTAATGAAACATTTTTTAATTTGATGTATAGGCTACACATTTTTATAGTTGTGAAATGCAATAATCACTTTAGGCCTACAACAATGACAAATGAAAATCTGAATGTTAAAAAAATGTTATTTATTTCCATATAATTTTATTTCACAGCCACTGGGAGCCAGTGGAGAGGGTCTAAAGAGCCACAGGTTGCCCCTGGTCTAAGTCTACACATTGTTTTTAGGGAAGTCATGCATATTATACCTTTAAGTCCAAACATGACAACATGTAAAATGACAACAACTCAGAAGCGTCCAAAATCCTGACTACTACTAAGTGTATATTGTGTAGAGCAGTGGTTCCCAACTGGTGGGTCACAGTCCAAAAGTGGGCCACATGTTTGTTCTGAATGGACCACAGGTCTGTCACGTTTGTAAAAAATGCATTTTATTTTTAAGTACCATGAATTCTAGCACAGAGCTTTTATTTTGCTCTTTCCTGCTCTAGAGTGAGTAACGGACAGCTACTTGAAAGAGACAGCAAACTAACTCATAGACATGGCCAAACGTAAGCATGACGCTGAATGTATTAAACTGTGTGGACCTTGAACTGATAACTAAGGAGAAATCTGGACCCCATGGCTGGACCATTTGGGAACCACTGATGTAGACAATAGTGAATGAGTGAATTGGAGGGTGATTTCAAACCTCACACTAATCTTGAGCATGAAGGGGAAATCTCATGATGTAAAGAGTAGACTGACAAGAAAAAAAACGCCATTTAAGGACCCACTTACTGGCTTTTACATTACCCTTCAATGTCATCACATGGTCTTTATGAGTGGATGGAGTTTGCTCAGTTGCTACTGAGATGCATCTGTGGACTTTTTTTTAAATAGATGGGAGCAGAATTTGGGAAGGATGCAGGGGACATGTCACCCTTAAAGGAGGACTTTTACTTTGACATAAATAAAGACATTTACCCCATAAACTGTTGCAAATAAAAGTCACCAGAATGCAGGAAATTATGTGTTTGATGCTCACAATTTTCTGGTGGAGGAAATTATGTGTTTGATGCTCACAATTTTCTGGTGGAGGCATTTAGCCAATGAAATTAGGCTAAATCACAGAGTAACTCATAAAAAAAATTGCTGCCTTATGCCACTATATTATTAGGTCTGTGGTGTGGTCTCGATCAGCTGACTTTAATCTTTTTATTGATCTAGATCATAAGGAGAATTCCATACAGACTTAATTTAGCGCAATTTAATAAGAACGATGTGAGGCTTTCATGAAAACTAACTTCAAATATATTAGAAAAACAAATTCTAAACGTTTATTGTACTTTGTAGGAGATAATTTATCATAAGAGATTTGACGATTATCATATTAACTCCTTTACCTCGGCAGCAGAGCCTCCACATTTGTTTCCAGCTGTTGTGACGTGGGGCTCTTTATGTTTTGGAAGCTGACTGCTGTCATCTTTAGAGTCAAGCCTCGGTGGAGGTGGGTTCAAGTACACGCTGTTACTGTAGTTCTTCAGGGTGTGCTGCAGCTGACCCAGCTGCCTGAGAACTTTTCCTTGCTCAGCATCTTTCCTCAGAAAGCCAGACTGAACCAGGCGATCATAGTGTCCACTGAGGGCACTGATATCTGCTGCAGGAGAGGAGCAGGATGATGCGGTTGAACTGCATGTCCTCCAACTGGTGTAACCTTGAAGCATTACAGCAAAAGCAGTCTGTGTTAATCGTTACACAAAGCTCATAGACATAACTTCATTCTATTAGATGCAATGAAACCGTGATTGAAAGAAATGCCACTGTAGTCAGGTGTGATGTAGAGGTTATATGTGCTGCAGCCAGTAAAGTTATCTAAGAGGACAGGTTTTAACACACGACATCTCCTACTGCGTACAACATGACGGAAAGACACGTACCTTTTCCGTTGCAGATGACTGACAGTCGGCAAATTATCTTAGAGGTCAGAACAGTGTCTCTTAATAAAACATTTACTGAGCATCTGACAGCTGCAGGGACAGTGTACGCCGCCATGATGGTTCAAAACGCGAAACTTTATTGAAACTCATCTGACACAAATAAGCCGCATGGCACACGCAAGGCACAAATCAGACTGTGACTCGTTTTGAATACATTTTATCAGATGTAACAAGTGTCTTAATTATTTAATTAACATTTATGCTTGTAAACAACTGAAACAAAAGCTGCACATTTTAGACCGAACCAGAGCCCTGCTGTTTTGCTTATATTACTAGATCATATCCGTTTTTATTAATAAGATTAAATATTCCGCTTGTTATTTTCAAAGTTATGTTTTTCATTTTTTAATAATTGATATTATTTTGAGCATTAAATCCCAAAGCACGTCGGATCAGCTGTGTTTTTACATTTCAGCAGCAATTTTTTCACACTGGGAAGCACGATTGGTCCGAATTATACAAATGAAATTATTACAAATGTGAATATCGTCCAAAAAAATGCGATTACAGCCCCTGTGCCCGCTGCTGAGTTGTAAACAAACGGAGCGGCGTCAGCTGAACCTCAGCTGATCGGAAGTGAAGCGCGCTGGCCCTTCAAGCACGCGATAGTGAGAGACTGAGCAATACCGGAAGTTGTATGAATTGCCTTCAACATAAAAGTTACAGTTAGACCTTTTCGGTATGTAAACGATAAAATCACGGGTAAAATGAATGTATAAATCTATGATATCATTAAATCGAGACACTGCTCTAAATATGTGCATTTTTCTTGTATTACGCGGACACAACACCAGCCATGTCTTTTATTTTGAAGGCTAGTACCGGAACGTAGATATTTGCATCCTGGCTAACTTGACACTATCTCGAGCTACTAGAAGGACAGGGAAGAAATGGCTGATACCATAGCTGACACAAGAAGGCTCTTCACCAAGCCTCAGAACTTAAATGACGCTTATGGACCTCCGAGTAACTTTCTAGAGATTGACGTGAGCAACCCTGAGACCGTCGGGGTTGGCAGGGCCAGATACACCACGTATGAAGTCAGACTGAAGGTGAGCCTGCAGTAACAAGTGCTAATGACGTTAGCTTTTAAGCTAGCTACCTGAGCTATCTAACGTCTCTCCTGTAACGTTAACGTTAGTCTAAGAAAGTTATGACTACCTGACATCGGGATCAGAAAGCCCCGAATACAATCACAAAGTCAATATTTAAACGTGTTAATGACTATCTACTATGAATAGGGCGTTAATTGCGAGACGTATAAGCCAACGCTCGTTAGCAGGCTAACAACATTCGTTATACTAGCTAACACTGGTTAGCTATCTGTCATTAAGCTATCTTGTAATTGATGTTAGCAGTGAGTCGAGGTTATTTGACTGACATTAGACGTTTGTTAGTACGCCAATGAGTGATTTGGACAATATTTAAGAGTACGGTGAACCTACTAGTGTTTGCTTTGCTGCTAACAAACATGTTCCTATTGCTTTGCTAAATAAGGGAATTTGTTTACACTACTCTCAAGTGTTTTTCCACAGAGGCGTGAGAGTGCAGCTGTTTTACAAATTCATACAAGTCATATATCTCCCAACAATAATTATATAACCCCTTCAGCAAGCTGAATAAACCATGATTAAATAACTCCTCCTAAAAGTTAAGGCCTTCCTGAATAGTTCAGAGTTGAACTCCAGCCACACCCAAACTTTTTACTGCAAATAATAGATAACAGAATTAGATACACTGAATGGCCATCCCTAAAGGCCTGTATAGCCAAATTGCCAGCTCTCTCCTTCCATTTACACATGCAAATATCACTATAGTAGGGATGCTGATTGGCTTAACAATGCTCTAGTTTGTCCTGACTTTACTTATTAGTCATCAAAGCCATCCCAACTAGTATATTTCAGCACCGGGCTAAAGGGGAAAAATCTCAACAAGTCAGCCTCTCTGGAACTGTCGACAGGATGCTGCCTATCCTTTCCAGTACCCCCCCCCCCCCCAACCTCAACACACTTCCTTCCTCCTACGCTACTGAAGGACTTGCAGAGGAAAACAAAGGCTTTATTTTTTTTGACAAGATTCTGCCATCCATTGTTGAGCTAGTCAGCAGTTGATCTAAATGCCTGTGTAAAGAAACATGTAAAATTGTTACAAAGTGCTTGTGAAATGTGACTTGTTAGACTCTTGGCTTACACTGTCCGGAAATTTGGCATCATTGAGCAACAAGTGACGAGAGTAACGGTTAGACAGTCCAAGCTATTGCAAAACAAAGATCATGTTCATTTCCCTCAGTCAGTGCCAAGTCAGCTTAAATTAATTTAGACCACTTGTAAACAATGATAGTACTATACTTCAGTGAATCAACACATAGCAGGCAATGATCATACTAAATTATTAACAAAAACAATCTCAAGGTCCACTTACCCACATGCTTTGGAGCTTTTGGCCATGTCACACAGTCTTTATCAGCAGATGGGAGTTTGCTCTGTTGTCATTGAACTGTAGATGTTCAAACTGGGCCAACGTGACTGAGAAATCCCAGAGGTGCTCAGGACAATGGAAAGTTAAAATATCTACAGTTGAATGACAACTCAGCAGACCTCAGATTTAGAGGATCTTGGGCTTAGATGGGTGTTTTTCACCTGCTGTTTCTGAGAACAAGCTCAAATTAGGCATTGTTTCAGGGCCCAGTTATAATGTGATCAGCTGAAAGAGTCTTTATTCAACAAAAACATAAGAGAAAGTCATATTATTTTCTTTAAAATGGCACCATTTTCAGGATTTGGCAAAAAGTTTTTTTCCAAAGACATTTGTGTGCTTCATTTTTCATCAAGTCTGTCATCACATACAATTTGGCATCATTTGAGCAATTCTGGGACTCCACTGAATGCAGTGTTAATGTGCAGGCTGTATTGAGAGTCTGGTACTGTCAGGCAGTCAATGTCTCATCTGATTGCCTCATCTCTTATCTTTAAATTGTCATTTCAGTTGACTGACACCCCTGTAGTTAGTGGCCTGGCGTATTTAGATTGGCAAGCAGCCCTCACGTATTTATAGTTTCCCTTTACCTTAAAGAAATGGGTTGAGGGAAGAGAAGCCGTCTCCAGGCATTAGCGTTGAATATAAGGCTACTGTACTTGATTAGCGTGTAATAATTAGCATATGCGTGTAATCAGCATTATTGTGCACCTCATAGCCCTGTGTGACCCTGCTTTGCATAAGACCACAGAAGAAGCGGCGCATCCCTCACTTCCCAACAAATGTGGTGTCAACTTTGCTTTGCTTCTCTCCTTCTCCTTTCTTCAGCTTTCTTTAGAAGCATTTTCCTCCATCTCCAGCATGTTAAGAGCGTTAGCCACAATGCCTTGGCCTGGAATGCATAGCCTATGCTTTGCTCTTTTTGTTTCTGTCTTACTTATAATATTTAGAAGCACTTTAATTCCGTCATCTAATTATGCCAGACAGTTTCTGTTTATAACTCATTCCCTTGTTTCCTGTTCTCACCGCTGTCCTGCTATCCACCCCGAAATCGAGAGAGCCCTTGTGGTCGCACTGAGAGAGTCTACTTAATCCCGTCATTGAGAGAAGAGAAGAATGAAACAGGCCAGGGTGTGGGGGAGCTGGAGCGTTTATTCCCTATCCTTACCCCCCACCCCCCACTCATGGGAGGGCAGAAAGCCACCCCCTCACCAGCCTTCATCCCATTGCCCACTTATCCCATTTCACTCCCAGCTGTGTGCAGTCAGTTACTGAGTTCATAATGTGTTACTGAAGCCCCTTTGATAACTATATATGGTTTAATGTATAGTGTACACACCGGAGCAAGGGCCTGTTCCTTCTATAAAATCAAGTTTGTCTGGACTCCATTTAAATAAATGTCAGCGTATGCATTTGGCTTGTGACTCATTGGCAATGTCTGAATGTTCATCAAGTTAGTGGAGAAACAAATAGTATAAAGATTAGATTATCACATGAGCAGCCAACTGGTTGCAGCGACTCTGAGGCAGGTTACACAGTCACTTGTTGACAACCGGGCCTGCATGTGGTGTTTAAAATCAATGGGATCAATCCACTTCTTTCAGTCAGGTTTTTTAAAGAGGTGGAAGCTAAGTTCATAGTGAAAGGAGGCGGATATCTCATTTTGCCTGAGCAGACTTGTAATGTCCAGGATCGTGTTGAAACAATGGATTTTTGTTCTCACCTAAATCCCTTCATTTTAAGCGTAGTTTCTTAAATGGCTTATGGACCACAGGAAGCTGGAAGGTTTGGTGTTCTTTCTTCTCTGCCTCTGCACATGTTTTTCATGTTCCTAATGGACAGTTATTCTGCAGAGTCCTGTCATATCACCTTAATGGTTTTTTTTTGGTGGTTGCTGGTTTGAGAGGATCCCCTTAAGCAGTGTATTTGTTTGGACCCTCAGCAAACACGGGGCTGGAGTTGGTGTGTGTATGTGTGTGTTTGAGGTGGGAGGAGGGGGGGTGTTGGGTATTATCAAAATTTCTTGTCTTTAGTCGGTTCCCATCTCATCCAGAGAGCACATTCAGGGGAACGAACTTTGGGATCTCACTTTGTTTATGGATAGGAGTACATAAAAGGCCTCTTATAGCTCTGTCGCTCACTCTCACTCAGTCTTCTACCCCTCCTCTTCTCTACTCCCATAGCTTCTCCCTCTCTCTTTCTTTCTCTTTCCATTTGGGCTATGGGGCGGGGGCCTTTGGTCATTAATAAAATGGGGAGAGATGGGGAGTGGGTGTGTATGTGGGGGGGCGCTTGTCAGGCACAGTCAAGTGTAATCCAAAGTCTACAGCATCCTCTTCGACAACTATTTTAATGGAAATAGGGAACATATTGTATCAAGGCTACCATATCCTACTTGAAATGACAGTATCAAAAGTGGGAGTTGATACTATGGCAACAAAGCAGCTTTTTGCCAGCTAGGCGAGTCGGAGAGAGGGTAGGCTGTCAGGCCGCAGGGGCCGGCAAGCGAGTGAACGAGTGAGAGAGTACATGGAGAGGCGAGAGCGAAAGACCCATAGCCCCAACGCTTTTGTTCCCTGTCTTTTTTTCCCCCCATTTTGGAATATGATGCAATGAGATGGTATTATGTTGCCATTTTTTATGCTATTATTCTGAAAGGAGAGTATATGGGAGGGGTAAGAAGGGGGCATGGGGGAGGTTTAGGATGCGCACTCTCAAACTTGACTTAATCCATCCTGCTAAAAGCTAATGCATGGTGGCCTTGAACTATTCTCTCAGGAGATGAGTGATCTTTGTCCCCTCTCTCCCTTTTTCTCTGTCTCGCTGTTTTTAAGGGTTCTGCCTCTTTTCAACCCATTTTCAATGAGCCCAAGGTATTGTATCCCACACATTATGAATCACATGCTCTTCCTATGGAGCGTAGATTGCACCTTGTACACTCATAATGGAAAGTGAAGCTAGGAGGTTTACTTTGAAGGACATACATCTAGCTTTATGCTCTTTTTCTTTCAAGATACAGTATTTTCTCTTTAAATCTCCCTTAATATGACCATTAATTCCTTAGTTTTGTGTCTATTTTGCTCTCTCTGTTTCTTTTTTTTTTTCAGCTAACCTAATTTCTGTCACCATCGTGTGCTTCCTCTCTTATGTTTTATCCTGTTCCCTAGAAAGCGAGAGAGGCAAAGTGTGCCTTTTTAGACAATTAATGAAATGCTAAGACCCGGCTGGGTGTGGGCTGGTCCCACCTCCCGAACACTGCAGGGGCCAGTAAGTTGAGACACCCTGGTCCTAACCTCTAACCAGCCGTGAAGAGAACAGAGGCCAGGGAAACCTTATCTTTGACTCGTAGAGCTCTCACGCACCGCCTCTTTCAGTGTATGTGTGCGTGTGAGAGAGAAAGAGCGAATGAGACCTCTCATTTTTCAGTTCTGTCGTTTTCGTTCCTCCCCTTGTCCTGCAAGGGCAATCTCTTAATCACAGGGTTTGAGAGGGCGAGAGGATTGAAAGGCCAGGTGACTTTCTTCCCTTACGCTCTCACCGCTGGCTGCATTGTGTAAGGACGAGTAGTCCCGGTTCG